CTGCAGAGGCCACTTTACAGTGCACCTACTAGTCGTATTCAACAAAAGATTAAAGAACAGGTTTAAATCAATAAAGCACAGGTTATAAATAGAAACCAACTCTGACTTCTAAATCTTACAATGAATAAGTCAATAAAGAAAGAACACAAAATAACCTCCTGTAGTTGGAGAGGTTACCAACATCTACCATAAACTAATTCATCTGATTTGGCTAAAAATAAGCACTAACTGAGGTCATTCCCGCACTTCATCAAATATTCATGTGATACTTGTTTTGTTTTCCTGGAGGAATACGTTTTTTTAAGAGAAAAAGGAGTGCAAGAAAGAAGGTTAGCAGGATAAGGGGGAGGGGAATAGTAGAGACTCCACTTGAGAGAGGGGAGGAGAGGTAGCAGGGAGTCTGAGTTAAAGGTGAAGTCAGCTATGAGGAAAATTGACTTTCCAAACTAAAGATTTCAGTCTGTTTTCAGGGATGTACAGCACATGGGGGCCGCTGTATAACAACGTTACGACCAAAGTTCGTAAAAGCTCCACAACAGACATGCCAGCTCACAGGGGTCTCCCCAGAATTCCTGGTGTGATCAGTTTCAAAGAGTAGATTATGGTGCAATGCAACTAAAGCAACTCTGACACACACACACACACATGAATCTGGACACACTCCTTCACTTTCTGCAGTCCTGAATTCGTTAAAAAGACAGGAAGGCAAAAACCTGTAACCAGAGACGCCCAGAGGACTGCGTCACTCAGCGACCTCCTCTGCTCTGCCTCTATCCTCCAAACACAGGCCACTCTCAGACTTTGGGTCCTGGGAGAACAAACACCGTCTGCTGAGTTTGCTTGGCCGTCCTGGAATAAAGCTGTTTCCTATTCTGCCTAAAAAGTCGACATGTGAGCAGTAAAGGGGACATATCTGTGTAAGGTTAGGTTAAATACTTAACTGCAGAACTGGGATTTGAATGAGATTAGATGAACTGCATAATCTGTTCTGATAAATATGAAAGTAATCACCTGCTGTTCATCAGAGCTATGTTATTTCAGCTCATCACAATATGACGGCCATGCCGCTGCTTTCTGTCAAATTGTGAACTTAACATTGCGCAGTTCAAGCTTTATAACACTGACAGGGATGTTACTAGATCACAATACAGAGACTCTAGTTTTTACAAACGTGGTTAAAGAAAGACAGAAAGAAAGCACAGATGCCCTTTAAAGCTAATGAATATAAAGCTAGAAAAAAAATAATGTTAGTTTCTATTATTGTGTCCTTAATCAATGTTTCATATAATATAAGCAAATAGTATAAAACATTAATAACAAATATTGATTCAAAACCACTGTCAAAGGTCAAATTTTATTTAAAAGTGCAGTAAAGGAAGTTAATAAATTATAAAACAAAACAACTAAAAACAGGAAATTCTAGTGACCTGTTTTAAGTACACTATTAAATACGTCCTGTTATGTTTGGACACTGAGATGCTGAAGCTGCAATGGAAAATTGCCTTGGTAAAAACAGAAAAAAAAGAGTACACAAAATCACTAACAGATGTATATCTAGAGGCCCTGACTATGCTACCTTCACTTCACAGCCTACCAGTAGATGACGTAGGTAATACCGGACAAGTGGTAAAAGTTATGCAAATGAGACGACAACCATCCTCAGAATAGCTGAGTGATCATATCATAACTTTGATGTGTGAACATGAAAAGATGAAGAGGAAGAATAACATTAACACTTTTTATTAGAAAATGTCATCAGGCTGCTTTCATTGACCCACCCTCAATAAGCAGAGGGGCTTCAGCCAAATAAAGCTGGGAAGGGTCAGTCAGTAGATAGGCAGGGTCACCCACTGACTGCTTTCCAATAGATCTGTATGATGAGGCCGCAGGCATGGTGAGTGAAAAAGAACCTTGTCTTTGGCTTTTGATGGGTTCGACCCATTGATGTGCAACCGGCTCCCAGTTCTAATGAATAATGAATGGCCATATTGTCATCACCCACAGATCACATTTCACATGGCGATGGACTGAACTGGTAATTAGCCAGGATGCTGCTGGCCTGCAGCTTGCTGCGTTGAACTTGCCAGGAAGTGCGGAGCATGAGATGATGATTGTTCAGCCCTAATTGCGAGGGCAATTTATGGTGGTAGATCTAAAGTTTAGGATTATATTCTTTATATTTGTAACAATTAATTTAGATCAAGAGTGTAGTCAGATGTACAACTATTGCTTTCACTGAAATTAAGCAGAAGAGAAGTGAGAGTAAAAGAAGCAGGGAAGCAATAAAGAGGGAAATTACTGTATGATGATCTGTCTGGAGGAGCAATTATAAGTACGTCGTCATGCTCTATCTGACTCAGAAAGTCTGAAATGTGCTTTTATGAGTCTGGAAAATGGAAAGCTGTAAGACTGGTGCATGGTTTCACTGCTGAAATAGACCTTGGAAACATAGTTGCTGCAAATGAATGTTGGAAACAGTATGGGCATAGGTTAAGACAATAAACATCGCAGATCATATAATAATTAGGGCTGTTCCAGCAGATTCACATTTTAAGAAAAGAAATACTACTATTAGATAAACTTTAATACTATTAGTTAAACTTTAATATTGTGAAACAGACAGGGCCAAAGTACCTAATATATATAATGGTAAACCAAAAGTAAAAGTTTGTATTCCTGTGCATTAAAGATAATGAGGTGAATGAGCCTGAATCACAGGACAGATTTGCACTACAGTTGTGCGGTACACTGTTTTGTCATTTTCAGACTTACTATTCTTCATTTCAAGAAATATATACTCAAGCCCCAATACTTGATAATCCAATGACTCAGCAATAATGTTCAGTCAGATCTACAGAAATTAACAAGCTAATTCAGAACAGTGTGTGGTTGTCTGAAGTCTGTCCAAGCCACAGCTGATATATGTATCTTCATGTGCAACAGTGGTTTGCGGTTGGCCACAGTAGAAGTGTCAGCGAGATGCTCCTCAAAGTGTTGTATTAGATGATGCCATCAACAAAACCATGAGGATATAATCAACCAAAACCAGCAGCTTAGCTTTGATGGAAGAGATGTTCCCAAAAAAAGAGATGAAACAACCCCGATAAAACCCTTTCGGCAAATGTAGTTTTCCTACAAAAATACAGAATTAACCATCTTGAGCAAAGATGGGCTCACTTTTCAGTTTCCACCCCATTCGATTACACAGCCACTTGCTGAAAATGTGAATATCTTCTGCACAGCAATCAGTGTGTGAGACTGGCCCGTTTCGTAATCACCAGCCAAGTTAGCAAGAGACCATGAAAAAAAGAAAAATCTTCCACAAGCTTCATCTCTTACTGCTGCACAGAGACAAACCGTGGGAGTCACACAATATATCAAAGTTAATGTGGACTCAACCCTGAGCAAAAGCTGCCAAAGATACTTGTGGTAACTATGAATAGAGTTGTAATGCTACAACTGAACAAACCATCAGGAGGACTCGGTGCAAACTGGTTAACACACTGATCTATCTGTAAAATGGCAGAAACTGGAAGGACGGCACTTTATTTAAAAACAGAAAAACTTTAAAGTCATACAGTTGCTTGAAATTGTTTACTGAATAGCTTATGTGTGTTTTATTTATACCAGGTACATAGATTGAAAAAAATACTGTTATGATGGCTGCACAATAAACTGAAGAAAATCTGTATCCACTATTATTGGTCATGAAAATAATAAAGCTGTGAATGGCTCTGTTTTCATATGAGTTTTACTCATTCGTGATTTCCTGTACAAGGCTTTCACCCTGGCGTTTACCACCTAATCCTATTACTACTTCATATACAGGTTCTTTTCACTGGGCAACATGCAGAGGGAGGGAAGTTGCTGGGATCATGTCATTATTTATAAAGGTAAGCCGGGAGCAAACTCCCATCAAGTGGATGGATTAAGACCCTTTCTCTTTCCTTAATGACTGGAAATTGGTTTAACTCCACAGTCTGTGTGGAGGTAGAGTCATGACTTCGCCTCTGAATCAAAGATTTGAGTGGCCTCGTTAAGAATATCAGAGTTATCCAAGGTCACGCAGCAAGCTTGACTTTTCACAAGAAATAGTTAATCTATGCTAAAGTAAACTACCTCACATTCTTTGGGTCAAACTACAAATGTGTACAGAAGTAAACTAAAGGTAAAGAAAATCAGAAGGGGACACTTTCATCTGCTTCCTCTGATTAAAAGAAAAACTAGTTTTAAGGAGAATGAGCAACAGTGGTCTGAAGGCTAGGGCATCAAGCTAATGACTGAAAGGTCACAGATTAAGTTGACTTTGAGCAAGGCACATAATAACCCCAACCACCCCAGGGCAGCTGCTCACTGACTGTAGATATACCAAGTATTTCCTGGATCTAACTGTGATCGTGTCAAGTATTCCTGAAGATGTGCTATGCAAAGTAAATCTAACTAAGTCAATAAGGTTAATGGAAAAAAGACCATGACGGTTACATTTTAAGTTAATTTGATTCGACCCTAATAAATAAATTGGTGTAGGCTTCTGATTTATCTTGAACTCAATCCTCAAGAAGGAAAAAGATAAGCATGACCAGAAACTGAATAAGACAAAGATCTTGATCAGACCCAGGCAGGCTCTTGTGTGCTCAAGTTAGCGTAGGATGTTTACTTTTTTACTTCTAGTTTAGTGCAATTTGTGTAGTTACTCAATGAGATTGAGTGATTAACACCATAAAGATGCTACATTATGTTATGTTACAATTCTTCGTCACTTTGAATATTCGCTGATTTGCCACCTTCCATAAACTAAAATAACAAACATTACAGGCTAGTTTTTCTTTCAAAATTATCACCACAGCTGCATTTTCAAGTGCAAGGTGTCAATAACTTGCCAAAGCTGTTCTTCAAAGCAAACCAAATGCTGTACTAAATAACGATCCGTGTCAGTTATGCAACGCGAGGTACACATTTGAAGCTCACGTTGTGTGAGTCAGCAAAAGGTGATATCTTACCTGCAACAGGTGAGTCAGCCGCAATCAGTGTTACCAACACCGTCATCCCCAGAAACACTGCACGCTGGCCATGGCCTCGCTCAAGAGCCTTGAGCATCAGCACCAAACCCACAGAGGAGACTAAACCCGCCATGGTGCGGCAGAAGTGAGGTCAAGGCATTTCATCCAGGTCCGTAAAGAAGACTCGCACCAGACACAAATCAGGTTTGGGTTTTTTAGGCTTGCCTGGTATGGTCTCGTTCAGTCTAAGGCCCCTCCTTCCAGAACATGTGCTGGCAGTGAATAGTGGCTGTGGGAAAACAAAAGAGCAGCAGTGTGACTCTCAAAACAAAGCAACCACGTGTACAGTTATTACTTGAGTGCCGTTTCATTAATCAGATATAAACTGAAGGAACAATAAGCTCTACTTAAACAATTCAAAACCGTTATCACCTCCACCAAGGAGGTTGAGTTGTCGTCTGCAGTGGTTTGTTTGTTATTTAGCAGGATAACCCAAAAACTGACGCAACAAGGAACCCTTTACATTCCAAAATTACAAGAGATTCATTTTGCCATTGAAGCCAAACATCAGAATCCATTTTTGAAATGAGTTGCAAAATGTCCGGGTGCCCATGGGTTTGTGTTTTGTTTATATATAAGACATATATTATCAAAAGAAATGACTCAATTCATGCACATGGCCAACCAGGAGTCATTCTAGTTTGATTAACATTCCCCATCAGGATTATACCACATTTTCTGCTGCATTGAGTCAATGTGTTTGTTCTGCAGGTTTGTTTTGTATATGAATGCATGTACAAAGCAAAGATACATGATAAATCTTCCCAGAGAAGCAGAATATGAGGGAAATTCACAGGTTGGTCTCATGCTTCATATATTGACCAAACAAAAAAGACACGTTTCGTAGGTGATTGCAATGCAACACTTGAAACCATCCCAAAAGACAGTCTGTCAGCACATTAGATGAACTAGTATCCCAGCTCCTCTCTGCATTGGGCTCCAGGAGGTGCTGAGAGGAGCAGGAGGGTCAGAGGCAGCAGCTCACACTTCATCCTCCAGCCTCGATGACCTGCTCTCAGCCTTCACCTCCTGTCCTGCGTCCCGTTACTCTCAGGCTTCACGGTCACGGCTCTTTCCAGAGTCCGAGCGTCACGCTAGAAGCTGGGTTAGCTTGTTAGCTAGCAAACACTAGCTTACATCGGTGACACTTCCCTACAGCGAGCTGTGGGTGCACTGACAACACGACTGTCCCCCTTCGTTCCCCCACAGCCATTCCTGCACAACCAGCTCCGCTCATAGCTGCGCACTCACACTTACCTCCCCCCCCTCAAACAATGGAGCTCAAACTCCGTCACTTCCCGGTGAGGAGGAAAATATCCAGAGATGCTCCGAGGCTCCGTCATTCAACCCTCACGTGAAAACCCGCCTGCGTTTTCAAGCGCTCGTCTGATTTCCCCGGTGCAGACGCGTTGCGCGTTTTCTGGTCGCTGGTTTTTCATCCGAAGCTCCGGTGGTGTCGTCCTCAGGATCGGGTTAGCCCCGCCTCCGGGTAGAGGTGATTGGCCGGCGGTTCGTCAAACCCCGCTCCCATTGGTCGCAGCTCTGGTCCATCACAGAGGGAGGGGTTTAAAAGTAGGTTGGTCCTCCTCCACTGGCGTCTGCGGCTTCCACGGCAACGTGATGATGCTTCAGCTGCATGTCACTGTCACGAGCTGCTCTTATGATTTAATCACAATCACAATTATCATAATAAATATAATTATGGTAATAAAACAATGATAGTTAGAGACAGAGCTCATATCTCTCTGCAAATTGCAAAAAGCGACCCCGGGGATGTTTCCAGGTGATGGACCTGGCTGTAGTTGTTGAAGTCTGCTCCTCGTCGCTGGTGACGGAACTTCACGAAGCATTGAACTACAGCCAGGTTCGTCACTTTTCTGAGTCCCCCTGGAAACATTTCCGTTGTCGTTCTCGCAATTTGCAGCGAGTTTTCTGCACGAGCTGCAAACTGGCCACTGGACTGATCATCAACAATTGTTTGCTCGAGAATGAAAATGGAAATAGAAATGACCTCCTAAAGAGACAGTATACAAAGTGAACCACTGCAGATGCACTGTACCTCATGCATGGACTTTTTTTCCTCTATGAATTATTTTTAGTGTACAGCTTTTGGTTATGTTTTGTAGATGTTTTATTCATTTCTATTCATTTGATCTTATCGTTTTATTGCTCTTATTTCCTCTGTTTCACTTTTTTCTGTAAAAGCACTTTGTAACGATGTTAAGAAAAGTGCTGCATACATAAAGTTTATCATCTTTATTATAATAATGGCAGTGGTTGTGCATCACTGTTCAATAGAATATATGCGTCATGCACCTCATGGTTTTCTGGTTAAAATCAAATGGAGACGTGCAGAACAACCTGATGACGTCATTGTCAGTCCAGGTCATAGACGGTATATAAAAAGGTCCAGGTGCATCAACGGTCTGGTGCAGAGCGCCATCTAGTGGTAGAAGAATGTGACTCATGTTGCTGATCATACATCCGTTTTCCTTTCTCTGTGTGAAACCATCCCTTCAAGAAACATATACACACATATCCAACTTGCACCAATAACTTGTGGTATATAAATATAATAAGATATTTCCGAATGTTGTTTTAAAACAAATTCAGACACAGCCTTTATTTTCCGTTTCCCATAGAATGTGTGGTTTCACTTTCCACTTGCTCGGATCAGTTCGGCTTTTTACTTCTTGAGAACTTTGTTGGTGCCGTTTGCACCATGGTTCACATGCCATTAAATCCTTATGACTGTCAAAACATAATTTAATAGTTTTATACATTAACCAACATTATTGTTTTACAGGGAGGATGTTTGGCACACAAGCAGCTTACTCAACTTTTTATAACTAAAACAAATGGAAGGAATACCAATATTTGAATATAATATAAATATCATAATAACATTATTACACTATAATTATAGATTTCATATCATCACACACACACACACACACACACACACAGAAAAAAGGACGGGACGGCGGTGCCGTGACTTAACAGTTTAATGTAAATCCAAGACAAAGTGTGATTACATTTCTACACATATACAATATGCATATGTGAGCATACAAATTCTCATTAATAACTCGATTCACCTCGGAGACCGAAAAAATGATCAAAAGTAACAGTGAATAACAAGCTATAACATAGTTCACCACAACGCGAGCCCCTTCTCACCCTACAGTTAGTAAAGAGGACAATTAAAATAGCTATATTCTTCTATTTGACGAAGCTGTTTGTCTGTTAAAATCCTCCTGTGAAATTTACAATGCTATCATTAATTTTTTCCCGAAGCCTAATATAAATTCACTCCATTTTTCTACAACGAAAATGATTAAGAGAAGCACACAACATCATAATGGTAACACAAGCGCTTAGTAGCAAGTACTCAACTTGTTAGGAGGTTTAATTAATCCTTCTTCTTATTGTCATTATTATATTCATTTAAACATTCTATAAAGCCAGTAAAATATCCATTCTCATAACATACTTAATAATATTAGGCTAAGGAACAGGGTATACATAGAACGCTACGTCAACAGATTGAGATAATGAGACGTCACACCCGAATAAAATAAAAGTAAATAAGAAAAGACAATTATCAGAGAATTATATTAGGAAATACTGCAGCACACATTAGCTTTATCAACAAAGAATGAGATTTTACACCATACAGCAATGGACACAAAAGGTGGTCAGGGTTTGATGCGCTCTTAGGTCTTCAGTAAATGTAAATAAACTGATAAATCACTTGTGCAAGGAGTTATCTATGCGCTTCAGCTTCACTAGTCTTCATTCTGAAGGGGATTGTGATGTGAACTCTAGGTAAGATGGATATATTTGTAGTGTGAAGAGTCTGTACTTGAACATAGCTTTGGTCTACCACTTCCAGATTCCATTTATTCTATTCAACACTACAAAAATAAATTGTTCTGGCTAGAAATCTTTCTGAAACTAGTTGGAAAAGCATTGACAAGAATTCCATTTGTGTAAATTCACCAAACCAAAAGATCTTACACCAAAGCATATTGGGGATTTGGTAGAATCCAAAATCCAAATCCTTGCCTGGTTGTACAAAATTAGAATAAATGGAAATGCTGGGGAAAACGATAATAATTGATTTTGGTTCTTAAATTCATTCACTGCATTCACCTGACGCCCTCTATCAGTGATGGCATCAAACCTTGACCACCTCACCCTGAATCCCCCCGAGGAATAGCCAGCAACAGGAGCAGATCTCCTCAACCAAAGATTACAAAAGCAAAAACTAAAAAAGAAAAAAAAAAACACTCTCATCCAAAAATTAGGGCTTTAAGAATAACGCGTAGCTGGATTATGTGTTTCCCGGTGACAGAGAGCACATCTGCACATGATTCATCCACATTAACACCTGCTCTGTACCCTTTTGTAAAGCTGCGACTTTGCCAAATGTTTTTTTTTACTGTTAAGAGTGTGTCGGTTTATGTTGCGGGTCGTCTGGTCACTTCTAACTCAGCTTCAAGTCACCTCAGAGGAGTTGTATGTACGCTCTCAGGAATGTTTCCTCGTGTTTCTCAGAGAGTATTATTCACATAACATCACGAAACTCGGACGTTTGAGAGTATTCGATAGAAGAACGCCAGGCTTTACATACAGAGTGAGATTCTGCCTTATTCTGTTTTCTCTGATTCAAATGTCACCTTAAAGCTTCAGAGGTATCATTGTTTTTTTTTTTAGAAGGCAGTACTCTAACAATAAAGCCACTAGCTGGGAAGGCTACGCTCACCTCAACAACACAGAACATTTTTATACACTCTACTTAAGAACATTTTGGTAATTGTAAGGTCACTCGATCTACGTTAATGCTCACATTTCTGATTCCCCCTTTTAAAATAAAACACAAAACATTGGTTATGTGAAACAGCGTGATAGATGAAAACATATCATACACGTCAAGTTATTCTCCACAAGGTTGCGCACACAGGGCTTCACTTAATTTTATGCTTTCATTTGAGAAAATAGTGATTATTCTCTAACCCCCTAATCATGAGGACAGTGGTAATTTTACATTATTTGTCTGGTATGGGATTCTGCTGGAGATCGGATGTGTAATTATTGCATCATGCATGGCCACAAACAGTGAAATCAAATGAATGGTCACCCACAGAGGAGAGAATCTAAAGCCATTTCAGATGTCGCGGGTCACATATTACATTCATTTTGTGCAGGTGACCACGGTTTTAAAGGTATACCTGGTACTTTTTTTTTTTTTTGATTAATTCATTTTTAACAGATCATTCTATTTCATGTCACACTTT